CACGGAAAGGGAAGGAAGAGTGTCCTGAACCAAGCCAGATTCAGGAAGCTCCACCCTACCTGGGCGTGTCTGTTTCAAGCAGGGACGAGCCTGGAGGGATCTGGGTGGATGGCGCTTAGGACAAGAATTGGGTAAAAGCAGGGGGTGGCTCACCTGGTCTGCGATGAGTCCACGGAAAGGGAAGGAAGAGTGTCCTGAACCAAGCCAGATTCAGGAAGCTCCACCCTACCTGGGCGTGTCTGTTTCAAGCAGGGACGAGCCTGGAGGGATCTGGGTGGATGGCGCTTAGGACAAGAATTGGGTAAAAGCAGGGGGTGGCTCACCTGGTCTGCGATGAGTCCACGGAAAGGGAAGGAAGAGTGTCCTGAACCAAGCCAGATTCAGGAAGCTCCACCCTACCTGGGCGTGTCTGTTTCAAGCAGGGACGAGCCTGGAGGGATCTGGGTGGATGGCGCTTAGGACAAGAATTGGGTAAAAGCAGGGGGTGGCTCACCTGGTCTGCGATGAGTCCACGGAAAGGGAAGGAAGAGTCGCTGTATTGGTTTTGATCAAAGGTCTGTTTGTGGATGTATGTGCCTGTATGTATAGTTGTGGGGTAGGACCTGCTGGGAGGGGAATCACACCATTTTCTTTAGTTTTTCCCACCACGGAATCTACCTTCCTTCATTAACAAAGTTCCATTGACAAATCTGGATCTTGTCACTCTTCCTGCCCCTTTCAGGCCCTGTGTCCTGGTAGAGTGTGATGTGTCTCTCCTACTCATAATACTTTGACTCCAAATAGATGATCAAGCTGTTTTGGCTTTTAAAAATAATACATTTATGTTATTTTGTGGATATGGGTGTTTTGCCTGAGTGTATGTCTGTGCACCATGTGTGTGCCAGGTGCCCAAGGAGGCTAGAAGAGGATCTATTCCCTAGAACTAGAATTATAGATAGTTATGAGCTGCCATATGGAGGCTGCCATACCTGGGCCCTCTGGAAGAAAAAATGTTCTTAACCTCTGAGCCATCTCTCCAGCTCCTACTCTGGGCCATTTTTGAGGTGGGAGGAGGAATAGTTGGACAGCCCGGAGCCTGGGCCTGACTAGCTCATCCCTTGCTCCTAGCACATCCGTGTGGGCTGGGAGCAGCTGCTCACCACCATCGCCAGGACCATCAATGAAGTGGAGAACCAGATCTTGACTCGGGATGCCAAAGGCATCAGCCAGGAGCAGATGAATGAGTTCCGGGCCTCCTTCAACCACTTTGACCGGGTGAGAGCCCTACTCCTTGCTCAGTTAGAGTGGCCCCCAACCCCCGACCCAGAGCCCTGGAGGGCACTGCCCAGGACATGAGCCCGGTCCTTGGGTAGGCAAGAAGAGAGAGGGAGGAACTGATAACAGCCTGCCCTGACTCAGTGTTCCCCTTAGAGCCAGGCTTTCTAAGCTGGCCTTGGAAAGCCTGCTTTGCCCTGTGAGCTTTCACAGCATACCTAGAGAGAATGCTGCTGTGGGAGAGAGAGTATCTTCATCCTTGACTGTTCTCTCCTGTGGAGAATCAACCCTTGGGAATGAGGCTGCCAGAGCCACAGCAAAGCCCTGTGCCTATGGCTGTGGGGACTGTCCCTTACCTCTGCCTTGGGTCATAGGAGCAAAAAGAGATTGCCTTTGGGACCTACTTTTGGGGACATTAGAGTCTGCTGTCCTGGCTTCTCGTGTCAGCTTCAGGACAGGCTGTGTTGTCAGTGGGCTGCACATTCCTAGTGCCCTGAGCTTGGGGACAGCCACAAGGGAGGTGGTGCATAAGGTCAGGTGCTGTCCACCACCCTGCCTGCTTCACTGCCCTCCAGGTACCTGGCGAGGTGGGAGGGAAGGGTTCCGGGAGACATCAGGTAACCTGGGGCACTTGTGGGAGCTTCTCACCCTTGTGGCTCATCATGTTCCCCTCTGGCCCTGCTTTCCCAAGCAGGACTATGTGTGCCAGGGACAGGGCCCCCTCTGGAACCTTGCCCGTGTGTCTAACTGTGTGCACTTTTATTTCCCCTCTCCCCCACCCCTTACCCTCCACCCTCTCCATCCGCATGCTGTTGTCCCTGTGTCTCCCCACACACATCACCTTCCTCCCTGGGGCATGGCTCACCCCCCCACCCTACCCCCTCACAACCTCCTCT